AACGGATATAAGGAGCTGTTTCAATGAAAGCAGAGGAGCGACATTTCGCCGACAACTGCGCCGAGTACTTGACTTTATGCAGGTAGCCAGACAGTGGGACATTGTACGAAAAGTCAGCACACTCAGCACGGATAGTGCGCGCAACATGATTGCAGCGTCCAGGCAGCTCCCGTTCAAGCATATGCCTTGAGCTGCACATAGCTCCAACGATCCATCACAACACACACACACACACACACACACACACACACACACACACACACACACACACACACACACACACACTTTGTATCGTATTATTGTATGAGAGAGGTTCCAGGTTGAATTGAGGCGAATATTTGTAATGTTCAGAGGTTGTTGTGTTTAATATTCATGAGGATATTTGTCATTGTTCAAATGATAATAAACAAACATATAAAGCATATTTGTCCACTCATATGTTGATAAGAGTATTCAAAACTTGAAAAATATCCCTCTAAGGTACATTTAGAACAGATAAAAAAAGTACGATTAATTTGCGAATAATCGCGATTAACTATGGACAATCATGCGATTAATCGCCGTTAAATATTTTAATCGACTGACAGCCCTAATAAATATATACAATTTCAGATTCAAACAAGTATGAGAGCACTCTCATAATAACGTAACACTATCAGAGACTGGATATATCCCCCCCCCTCTCTCTGGTCGCTACTATGAGGAAAATAAATTACGGGCCAAAAGTTTTATTTCCAAGTATTAAAAGTAAGCAGAGGAAACCAAACCAACTGAGACCCGTCTGTCCGCCGCATCTATGCACACACATACACACACTGTACCACACGCACCTACACACTGTACCACATGCACCTACACACTGTAAAACACGCACCTACAGCTCCTAAAGCATATAATATATCAGGATACAGCCGTTGTGTATTTTATTATGTTAAGCACTAAATGGTTTTAGAAAAAATATCGACTCTTTGTTTGTAGATATCTACTAAACTACAGCATACAAATACAGAAAGTAATGTAGGCCTGTTATACTGAGTGATATATATTATACACACTGCTCTGCTTTCTGCACGGACCTCACAGCTGTTCTCACTAGAAACATCGCGTCGCGATGAAAGCCGTTAATAAAATAATATCCAGGGGATGCATGCAGAGCTGTCATTGGCTGAGATAAGTCCGGCCGTGCGTCACGACTCTTTGAAACATCACTGTTGCCGGAAATACATCCGCGGAGGATCCGCGGACTGGCGCGGAGGACCCATCGGTGTATCCTCGGTTATAGCTCCTCCAGAGAGCCTCCTCGATGCTCGATCCTCGGTCCTCGAAGTGCATTTAGAGAAATTAGATGGCACGCTGAAAATCCATTTCCGGGTCACTACCGGAGGACCGAGGATTCGAGGAGTCGAGAAGGGGTAATTAGTGAAATGAGAAAGGGCCAAGGATCATGAGGATATGTTGATACCAGGGTTTCCGTTAGCCGGTAATTACCGTTTTTTAGCTGGTAACATTTATAAAAAAACTATAAATTCAAAACCTGCCGGTCAAAATGTCCGGTAACAAGGTTGGGATTGGCCCCGGTGCAAATATTGTTTTGGGCCCCCCATCACCCCAAACATAAGCGCACGCTGATGCACACACACGCACGGACATACACTCTCTCTTGTCCTTTCTCTTTTGAGCGCCGCTCTTGTGCTTTGGTTTGCTCTACATTATAAATGCAAGCTATTACATTTTTTATAATACTGCCGAACTTGCTGCTGCTAGCTACAGTACAGTACAGGACAGGTTGATTAAACGGTTCGCTCACCACGCAAGGTATCACATGACATGATAGCAGGGCCGGCTCTAGCCAATTTGATGCCCTAGGCGAGATTTTTGCTCCCCCCCCCCCAGAAGACAAATACACTACAAAAACAGAAACTTATTGACATAGGTAATACACATCAAAAAGGCTTCAACTGTATTCAGTATTGTATGAACATGTTTGAATTGGGGGCTTCAATCTGGTGCACTTTGAGCACACAATTACTAGACACTAGATCTAGGGGGTACAACTCTAAAACACCCATATGAAAAAGATCGGTTTACATTTTAATAATCAAATAAGTATGTGAACATAACCAATAACCTACCATAACCAATAACAAATAAATATAACTTTTTTTAATTTTTTTGTTCATTCATCATATCTTATTTTACCTAACATTTATTTAGTAATGCACATTTTTATTTCTACAGTTTTAAACGATATTTTTGGTTTACTGTCCTATAGTATACATTGAAATGATTTCAAACCTGTTTATCCCAATAATTATAAAGGAGTGCCTTGGAAATATGTGTTTACATAAATTGTGATCAAAACGTTTGAGACCCACTGAGATAACTTAGACTAAAGTGAACTATCTAAACACTCAGAGAGTCCTTTACCTCACTGAGCTGTAGTTATCTCTCTCAGTCTGACAGGAGAGAGCTCCCCTCCACCTTTGTTGTAGAAACATCTTCTTCTCATATCCGTTAGCGCAGCTAGCACCAGGTGCTAATAACAACAGCGCCGGTACCTCGCTCCCACGCTCACTCGCACTTTGGCTGTGAGCTGCGGGCGCCAGATAAACCAACATCCCCCACTTTCATCACTTACAGCGCCCATCGTACAGGGCAAATGAAAAGTGTAACCGGGGTGAAAAGGGTGTTACATTTATTTAATTATGAATATTGTTACATCAAGGCCGAAAATTAGGATGAGCACCAACGGTCAAAAATGTTTTTCCCCCTCCCAGAGCAGCGCCCCCCAGATATGGCACCCTAGGCGAACATCTATAACGCCAATGCTAAGGACCGGCCCTGCATGAAAGGGAGCAAGGTCATTGGACAGACAAATTACAAATTAATGTAGGTTGCTTGGTTACTGCATGACCCGGTCAATGCCATTGGGGCCCCAAAAATGTAAAACAATAAATATATATATATTTTTTTACATGCACCGGCTGCACCGTCGATAGTTACGCCATTATCGGCCGATGTTCACTCTTAATAGTTTGATCAGTGCTCTCTATAAAGGCCGATCAGGAGAGCTGGAACTGATCGATATGGACATAAACGCGAGTGAAGTATAACTGGACGCGAGAGAGAGATCAGAGATCAGCTGCTGAGTCTGACGGAGACACGCAGCTCTGCATGATCACCTGAAGCCCCGCCCACTGTTTAGCGAGCTGCATGAGAAACTGACGGGCTGTCTCTGGAGAGAGAGAGGGAGGGAGAGAGGAAAAGAGAGGATCTGTTTCTCCCGTGTTATTATCCAAAGTTAAAGTGGACCTATCATGCTATATTTAAATGATATATTGTAGGGCCATACCTATATAAGGTATATTTATACGTTTCTGTTTTCAAAATACCAAACAGATCATGCATTTTAGCCATGCCTCATTTCGCTCTATGTGCTGTTTGCTGTCTACGGGTCTGATTCTGCTGACCACGCCCCCCTGCAGGAGAGGTGAGACGTGCTCTGATCAGCTGCTGGGCTGTCAGAAGAGGGGGAGAAAAAGAGATCTCCGTCCTCCGTGTTTTATTATATAGAGTCGTTTATCATTTGTTTTAAAGCTCAATAAATAACAAAGAAGACCTTTGACCGGCACTTTTCTAATTTTGTCCGGAAGATTTCAACTTTAACGGACATCTTGACCGGCGAAAGAAACTGAAACTGAAACTCTGCCGCACGGTCCCCTCGTTCCTTGGAAGAGGCGGAGAGGTGGGTGTTTGTCATCTGCTGGTGGACTAACCGGAGAGAATTACAGTGCTTGCCTCGACGGGGAGGGATTGCATTGAATTAAAGCAGCAGGAGCAAACGCTTGCCTCGGGGAGGGAGACAAAAAGCCACAGCGGAGAATAAACAGAAGGGTAACCATGGTAACTATGCGCGGGAAGTCTTCTTCGCTGCTTTTGTGGCAGACTACAGCGCCACTTACAGACCTGGCATATGTACTACAGCGTCTCCAGCGCTTTCGAGCGGCAATGGCCGGCCGTGGCCCAACCCCACATTCCCCTGATAGGTGGAGAGTTGGCCCAATAGCCGTAGCGCCACCGTCCTGACGTCAGGACGGTGTTCAAATCTGGATCAGTCTGTATCAGATCCGTTGCAGCCCCGTTTTTAGAGATTTGGGTATGGAAGAAAATAGAGAGGGTTGTGTTTTCTGACACTTGGTGAGTTCCCTGGAACACAGGAGACACATTCATGTATAAAAGACGTACAAAAGTGCATTTTGCATGATAGGTCCCCTTTAATGTAAACTTTTGAATAATGTACTTCATCTACTATAAGTAGTTTGTTTGAATGTAATAATGATGTTGTTTGTTGTTTGTGGAATCATTTTTAGAAAAATGAATCTGAACTTTTCGATCTGTTACGATTATAAACTGAAGCAATATAAAAATGAGCACCATTAACCAAGTTTTAAACATCAGCATATCCGGTCATAGTCCGGTAATTACCTGCTAACGGAAACTCTGCTGCACAATTCTTCTTCTTCTTATTATTATTATTGAAACATGACCGGTTAGTTTCGAATTTGTCCGGTAAAATTAATTATTTCCGGACATTTGACCGGCAAGAAAAGATCCTAGTGGAAACCCTGGTTGATACATGTGGCCCATATACAAACATTTTATTATTCTGTTATACCTGCCCTCACCACCAACCAAAGTCTCTAGATCAGGTGACATCAAATTCAATCAAAAGTGTGAATCCTTTAGCTCTTTCCTTCCTTTTTGTAGGTACTTACCTTCTTTTTGTCTGAACATGTCCATTTCCTGAACATATTTGCCTGGATCATATTTCAAAGACATGTCTAATCAGGATCAGTGCCATTTAAAGCCAATGTCAGTTGATGTGCACAGCTTTGACTGTAGCACAGTGTGCTCAGGAGGCTGAGCCCGAACACTGCTGGCTCTGCTGAGAGGACAGTGTGCCTTTGGTAATAGTCAGTGTTTTGCCTTCTGTGTTGCAG